ATCTGGTCCCATCATTTCATGGTAAATAGATGGGGAAACAATAGAAACAGTGACAGACTTTATTTTCTTGGGCTCCAAAATCACTGCAGATGGTGACTGCAGCTATGAAATTAAAAGATGCTTGCTCCATGGAAGAAAAGCTATGACCAACCTAGACAACATATTAAAAAGCAGAGACATTACTTCACTGAGAAAGGTCCGTCTAGTCAAAGCTATGGTTTTTCCAGTAGTCATGTTTGGATGTTAGAGTTGGATTATAAAGAAAGCTGAGCACTGAAGAATTGATACTTTTGAACTGTGGTGTTGGAGAAGACTCTTGAGAGTCCCTTGGACTGCAAGGAGATCAAACCAGTCAATCCTAAAGGAAATCAGTCCTGAATATTCATTGAAAGGACTGATGCTGAAGCTGAAACTCCAATACTTTGGCCACTTGATACGAAGAACTAACTCATTCCCTGATGCTGGGAAAGGTTGAAGGCAGGAGGAGAAGGGGACGACAGAGGATGATATGTTGGATGGCGTCACCGACTCGATGGACATGAGTTTGAGCAAGCTCTAGGAGTTGGTGATGGACAGGGAGGCCTGGCGTACTGCAATCCATGGGGTCGCAAAGAGTCAGACACGATTGAGCAACTGAACTGAACTGATTGACTGGGTGGATTATACACAACAGAAATGTATTTCTCAGGGACACAGAAGTGGGAAATCTGTGAGCAGGTTGTCAGCAGGTTTGGATTCTTGTGGGGGCCGGTGCCAGAGAGCAGACTCTGAGCTCTCACTGTAGTCCCATGCAGAGATAAACAGACAGGGAAGCAAGTTCTCTCCAGATGTTTTAAGTTCTCTCATCATGGGGGCCCCACCTTCAAACACCATCACAAGGTGGGAGGGTAGAGTCTCAACAAATGCATTTTGGGGGGATGCATTCAGTCTGTGCCTCCCCCGGTGGCTCAGCGGTAAAGAATCCACTTGCAATGCAGGAACCACGGGAGACACAGGTTTGATCCCTGGGTCGGGAAGATCCTCTGGGGGAGGAAATGGCAACCCACTCCAGGATTCTTACCTGGAAAATACTATGGACAGAGGAGCCTGGCGGGCTACAGTCCATGGTGCCGCATAGTCAGACACTACTGAGCATGAGTTTCTGTCTTTGGTTCCTCTTATAGTTTGACTCCATTACAGTCAGAGAACACACTCTGGATGGTTTCCATTCTCTTAAACTTGTTGAGCTTGTTTTAAGGCCCAGCATGTGGTCTGTCTTGGTAAATGTTTCATGGATGCTTGAAAAAATGTGTCATTGGGTAATGAATCTATAGATGTCAAATAGCTCCTGGGACAACTCTCCCCCAGCCCTCCCAGACCTCTTCTCACTCCTTCAGGTGTTGCGACTGAAGTCTGCCCAGTGGGAGGCTTCCTCTTCTCCACTGTCCCTTGGGGGTGCCCCGGAGAGGGGCTGTAGTGCTGTGACCATCCGCCTTTTGGGGGGCTGTCAGTGTATCATGTAAAACCACCCATAAACCATGCCTTAGCCTTCTCTTCCTCTGTGAACTGACCATCGGGAAGGCCCTGTGAAGCCGTAGCTGAACATGAGTAAAACAGTATACTCATGAGTATAATCCCTGCTCCGGATCCTTTTGTTTATGTACCCAGAAGTGAAATTACTGGATCGTACGGTCATTCTATGTTTCATTTTCCTGAGAAACCATCAAAGTCTTTCCCAGAGTGGTTGCACCAGTTTACATTTCTACCAGCAATGCACTAGGGTTCCAATTTCTCCACACCCTCATCACCTCTTATTATTTTCTGGTTTTGGATCCTAGGCATCCTAGAGGGTGTGCAGTGGTGTCTTGTGGGTTTGATTTGTTTCCCTGGTGGCCAGTGGTGTTGAGCATCTTCTCATGAGCTTATTGACCATTTGCACATCTTCCCTGGAGAAATGTCTAGTCAAACTCTCTGTCCACTTTTAACTGGGTTGCTGGTCTTTTTGTTGCTGAGTTGTAGGGGATCCTCAGATATTCCAGATATAAGTTTCTTATCAGAAATATGATTTGCAACTATTTTCTCCCATTTTGTGAATTGCCATTTCATTTGGTTGGGTATCCTCTGAGCCCCCCAAATTTTGGTGACATCTAGTTTTCGTGCTTTCCTTTCACTTAGCATTGCCTCTTAAAAAAGAAAGAAAAAGCATCTTTTTCCGGTTTTATGGAGGCATACTGGTCTTTTTTTTATGTTCCAATAATAGTTTATTAGTAGATACTGAAACTTGCATTCCATATACTATTCTCATGTCACAGATATTCTCCCCACCCCCCCAAACATTTCAAATATGCAGGTCGTTCCCAGCTTGTGAGCCCCACAAAGACAAGCAACCAATTGTCCTAGAGGAACTACTGCACACACACAGTGACCAGCTCATGCAGGAAGATCTCAGCAGTGTAACTTGTAATCGCAATAAGTTTACCACCAAAGCATATGCAATAAGCGATAGTTTGTTGCGTTTCGCTCACAGGGTGGAGCACGCCCAGCACTGACAATGCATGAACTACTGCTACAAGCCTGTGTGCTCAATCACGTCTTACTCTTTCATAACCCCATGGACCATGCCTCCCCAGGCTCCTCTGTCCCTGGGATTCTCCAGGCAAGAGTGCTGGAGTGGGTTGCCATTCCCTTCTCCAGGGGATCTTCCTGGCCCAGGGATGGAACGCGGGGCTCCTGAATTGGCCGGTGGACTCCTCACTGCTGCGCCACCTGGGGCGCCCACGCACCTTGGCCTTTACTCCCAAGGGTGATGAACAGAGTTGCTTTTCTTTGTTTTTCTCTTGCGTCATCTCAGTGTCCCCCAGCCGCCTCCTCCTGCTTGTTTTGATCTCTCTCATTCCTGATGAAGCCTTTCCATAGATATCTGGGCACTGTGGGCTTTGCCTGGAGGCAGTTAGTCTTTTCCCCAAAATATAAAGTTCTTTCCCTGGGTGTGATGAGGCTGAAGGACTCTGAGGCGGGGGAGGTCACGCTGGGGAGCCAGTGCAAGCTGGGTCCTCGTGAGCGGAGGACCGGAGAGACAGCTGCGGGAGAGACTGGCCGCTGTGGCCGGACGTGGTGGGAAGGGTCCGGCCCCGCCCACACCTTCATCTTAGCTCTGCGAGGCCTGTGTCGGACGCCCGTCTGTAAGACAGCACGTTGTTGCAGTGGTCATCGGGTTCATGGTCATTTGCAGGGCAGCAAACGGAAAACCAACCGAAGGCCTCAAGTGCCCGGCCTCGTCCCTCCCCGAGTGCAGCTCCCACGGGCAGCCAGAAGAGGGCAGCAGCCTCACACACAAGTGAAACCCGGCAAACCCAGTTCAGTCGCTCATCGCCTCCAGCTCTCTGCGACCCCATGGACCGCAGCACGCCAGGCCTCCCTGTCCATCACCAGCTCCCGGAGTTGACTCAAACTCGTGCCCATCGAGTCGGTGATGCCATCCAGCCGTCTCGTCCTCTGTCGTCCCCTTCTCCTCCTCCCTTCAATCTTTCCCAGCATCAGGGTCTTTTCCAATGAGCTGGTTCTTCGCATCAGGTGGCCGAAGTACTGGAGTTTCAGCTTCAGCATCAGTCCTTCCAATGAATATTCAGGATTGATTTCCTTTAGGATGGACTGGTTTGATCTCTTTGCAGTCCAGGGGAACTCTCAAGAGTCTTCTCCAACACCACAGTTCCAAAACATCAATTCTTCGGTGCTCAGCTTTCTTTATAGTCCAACTCTCACATCCATGCGCGACTATTGGAAGAATCATAGCCTTGACTAGATGGACCTTTGTTGGCAAAGTAATGTCTCTGCTTTTTAATATGCTGTCTAGGTTGGTCATAGCTTTTCTTTGAAGGAGCAAGCGTCCTTTAATTTCATGGCGGCAGTCACCATCTGCAGCGATTTTGGAGCCCAGAAAAATAAAGTCAGCCACTGTTTCCCCATATATCTGCCATGAAGTGATGGGAACAGATGCCATGATCTTAGTTTTCTTAATGTTGAGCTTTAAGCCAACTTTTTCACTCTCCTCTTTCAAACCAGCTGCTGAAGTCAGGACGGTGGGTAGGGACCAGGCTTACAGCTGGGTGAGGAGGGCTGACCAGAAGGGACCAGAGGCCTCTCTGGGTGCCGGTTACAGAGGCGTGTCCGTTTTGTGGCAATTGACTGTATAATTCGGATCTATGCAGTTTTATCTATACTGAAAAGTGAAAACATCAGTTGCTCGGTAGTGTCCAACTGTTTGCGACCCCATGGACTGTAACCCACCAGGCTCCTCTGTCCATGGGGTTCTCCAGGCAAGAATACTGGAGTGCGTTGCCGTTCCCTTCTCCAAGGGATCTCCCGCATTGCAGGCAGACTCTTGACCGCCTGAGCACCAGTGAAGCCCTTTTATGTATTAAATTAACAAAGAAAATTTAACAAGCACTGAACCACACAGAGGTGTCTAAGGCCGGCCGCAGCTCAAGGCAGCCTTCACCTTCAGGATCAGTCACTGGCATGAGTGACCCCCGCCCCGGGCCTCAGGCCCCCCGGGAGCACCAGTCCTTCACCCTCCTGCTGGGGCTCAGGCCTGGCCCGCTCCCGCCACTCCCCTGCCGGCACCAGGAGCAGACACCGTTCGGCACCGGGGGCCGGGGGCCTGGGTCCGAGGGGCGGCTGTGGGGGCCGCCTGCAGGGAGACCAGAGGGGAGCCCTGACCCTGTCTGGGTGCCACTGTCACTGTGCCTGTCTGGGAAATAACGATGCCGTCTGCCCCGCTCATCGCTGGGGGTCCTTCCGCTGCCAGAGCCCAGGTCTTCGTGAAGTTAATTTGGTGGCTCCCCCACCGCCTCCTCCCACCCTTGTCCAACACCTGCATCGCTCACCTCAATTTCTGCATCTCTCCTCCCTGGCTCCCAACCCCTCTGCAGTCTCCACCCAACACCACCAAGACCTCGACATGTGTGAGTCAGCTCCATCCCTGCCCTGGTGGAGGCCACCAGCCCCTGCCATGGACTTACCGCCAAGGTCAAAGTCTTCGGGGAGCCGGGGGGCTGGTGTGCGCAGGTTCCCAATTCCCCACCTCCCGCCCTGCGCCCCTCAGACATGATGAACTTCTTGCTGCCCCTACAACCTGCCCCGCACGCTGCTGCCTCAGGGCCTTTCTGCATGCCTCTGCTGCTGGAACCACCTGCCTTTCTCCAGGCTTTTATATTCCGGCTCCTCCTTGCTCAGAGTCTGGGGGCCTTCCTGCTCAACTCGGTCACTCTGAGTGACCCTCGGCCACACCCCTGTTCTATTTTCATCAGCACCCGGTCCTTCCTCTGAGATGATGCTGTGCTGGGGTGCCTCTTCTCCCTCCGCATCCGATGCCCCCTGCAAGAGTTCACGCCTGAGGGACGGGGCTCTGTCTGCCTTGCTCCTGGCTGCTTCTTGAACAGTGCAGGGATGCTTGTCTGTAAACTCCGGTGTCGGGGAGCCCTGTGCTCTTGGGGGGGGTCACCGCCCCACTCTGAGACGTCTCCCCACAGCCCAAAGGGGCTAAAGGTCCCCTGTGAGCCTCTCAGGCCCCTGGGAGGCCCCACGAGAGGGGAGGTGTTCTGGCGACGCTGGCACTGGGATCCGCCCTCAGCAGGACTGAGGAGGTGGTTTCAAGCTTTAAGGACGTTCCTGATGGTGGGGCAGCCAGGGCCTCTCGGGCTCAGGTTTGCTGAGACTTCCTTGGGGACATGATAGCACCAGGGGTGCCCTATAGGCCTGCGGTTGAGGCCTCACTGGTTTGGATGCAAAAGAGAGTCTCCCAAGAAATGATGGTGATTATAGGTGATGGGTTAAAGAAAAAGTGTCCCCACTTGCCCAAATGAAAACACTGGCGGGGTATTTTCCTGGTGGTCTAGTGGCTAAGACTCCCCAGCTTGCAATGCAGGGGGCCCCGAGTTTGATCCCTGGTCAGGGAACTAGATCCCCCATGCCTCAACTAAGAGTTCACAAACTGCAACTCAGACCCAGCGCAGCCAAATAAGTAAATAAACATATATTAAAAAAAGGAAAACACTGGCAGGACTTCCCTGATGGTCCAGTGGCTAAGACTCCATGCTTCCAATGCAGGGGGCCTGGGTTTGATCCCTGGTCAGGGAACTGGATCCCACAGGCCGCAACTAAGAGTCCACAGGCCACAACAAAGACCCAGTGAAATAAGTAAATTAATAGAAAAAAAGAAAACACACTGGCCATCCTGGATGGTCCCCTAAAGGTCTGGGGGCAATTTTAGGTGCACGAAATCTTCAATACTGCTCTGTCGGGCTGTCGGGACCAGGGGATGGGGTCTCGGGATCATGGAAGAGGCTGCTGGAAAGGGGTGCCCACCCCACGCCCACACATGTGTACGTGCATGCATTGATGTTGTTCAGTCACTCAGTCGTGTCCGACTCTATGTGGCGCACTGCAGCACGCCAGGCTTCCCTGTCCTTCACCATCTCCCTGAGTTTGCTCAGACTCAGGTCCAGTGAGTCGGTGATGATATCTAACCATCTCTTCCTCTGCCACCCCCTTCTCATTCTGCCTTCAATTGTGCATAGGTGTAGACAAAGCAACGCAGAGACGCACACACAGGCACAATCACATATGTCCACCCACAGGCCCACACAGCCATGCACATGCACATCCTCTTGGACAAAGCCCCAAGAACATCCAGAACGGGTCTGTTGTCCCGCATCGAGGAAATGGAGGCTTATGAGTTCCCTGAATTTGCAGGTTCAATCACGGGGCTCTGAGTTTGGCCCCTTGAGTTTCTGGGGGCAGAAGTCATGTGGACAGGGTTTGGAAGGAAGATGTCGTGTATAAAAATTTATTCAGATGCATGTTCAGTCTCTGTGAATCTGTGTACATTCACTTTTTAAAAAAGAAATGGTTTCCATAAAAGGATATTCGGTAATCACCTCATCTTTAATACAATGTTTATATACAAAAACCCCATTTCAAACTACTTACTGTACAAGAGAAAGCAGAAGCATCAGATGGCATGATTTTAGCAAATAACAAAAAGCTATGACACCTGCGGACGTCCCTCCTAATCGACAGCTGACGGGAAATGTCCGCGCTCACCAACCACACGTTCAAAACAAGCATGTTCGTGTTTGCGCCCCTCCCTTTGCTGGAGCATTTCTCTGCATGCTTGAGAAATTTCAGATCATCAGTTAGTATAATGGGGCTGCAAGTTGAGACCATTCCTATCAGCTTATGAGGTTTGTTTTTACAAGTTTTTTAAAATGAAAATTTCCAACAGTAACATTCCTGTAAGTAAAAATATAGAGAAGTATTACCAAAATAGAAGCCTTTATTAATAAAAATCTTTGGTAGTAACAGTAGTTTAAATTCCTCTCAATGATATTTGGTTAGCTAATAAAATGAATGCCTTCCACCTTTGAGCTACAGAGGAAAAAACCCTTACATCCACTGTAGAACTGATTAAAAAAAACAACAACAACCCAATAAATATGCTGAAGCTGCAAAAGTACCCCTGGAAGCCTTAAGACGTCTGGAAGCCCTGCAGCTGTCTGCAGAAACGCCTCCGAGGTCAGAGCCCCTCGCCGCTCCTTCTTCTGTCACCCCGCCGGCCTCTCTGGTGGCTCAGGCAGTAAAGAATCCGCCTGCCATGCAGGAGACCCAGGTTCGAACCCCAGGTCGGGAAGATCCCCTGAAGAAGGGAATGGCAACCCACTCCAGTATTCTTGCCTGGAGAATTCCATGGACAGAGGAGCCTGGTGGGCTACTGTTCATGGGGTCTCAGAGTCAGACACCAACCGAGCAACTATCGCTTTCTCTTTCGGTGTGGTGGGGGGAGGTGCACGGCTGACAGGGGGGACCCCAGAGGTGCCTGTCACTGCTCATGCAGAACACCCGCACCCTGCTAGTTCCCCTAAGAGTAAATTCGGGGCTCCCGGGCTGTCTGAGTGACACAGCCAGGGCACCTCTCATTTTGAGCAGTGCCTCGGTGTCTGAACCCGTGGAAGGAAAAGGTGATGAAACAATCTCACTTTCTCCACCTAGAGACAGGTGACGTCCTTTGGAACGGGTGTCATTATCGTTTATCCCTCATCCATTTCTCTGCTCTCAAATCTCTCACCAGCTTTTGCCCCATGTCTTGGAATGCCACCTCACCTTTCTTAACGGCATCTGGAGGGTTTAAAGAAGATGACTTTTGGGGGCTCACCTCCCAACTGCCAAGGAGACCCCAGACTCCAAGCATCGCATCCACAAAACACCTGCATCTGCTGCATGCCACCCTGCCCCAGCAATCATTTTGATTAACGCTGAACACTAAACAGAACAGGATTCCCTGCATAATGGTTTTGTGCAAAAACAAGAGAAAACAAAACAAAGTAGAAAAAGATGGAGAAACGCTGTCCTACTAGAAGGTGGTTTTCCAGGTTTGCCACAAACCCAGGAGCCCCCGGGCCAGGTGGGTGTGAGAAGCCGCCTGCCAGGGAAGGAGAGAGTGCGCGCGGCCGGCCGGGGCTGCCCAGCGGCTACAGGGAGCCTCCGGGGAAGTCGGGGCCGTCCGGGGGCGGGGGCGGGGCGGCGGGGGCGGGGCTGTGGTTGTTGCAGGGCTCCGCCTTCTTCCGGTCCTTCTCCATCCACGTGTCGAGCAGCTGCTGCTTGCCCTGCTCCTCCCGCATGAACAGCTCCACCATGAGCACCTTCTCTTTGTGGATCTGCTGGCTGATGTCCTTGGGGATGTCGGGGATGACCCAGTCCACAAAGTCGCTCATGAACATGACCAGGTTCTGGAAGGAGAGTCGGTGTCGGGGGGCTGGGAAGGGCGACCCCGGAAACGCTTCCACCTCCCCCTGCGCCCCACTGGACACCACCTTGCCCCACCCATCACCCCGGCCCTGTGACCTCAAATACACCTTGCAGCTACCCGGCCTTGGTCTCCCCGGAGGGCATAAATGAGACAGGAAGTAGGGCCTCTTAAACAGGAATACCGTCTGCATGACTCTGAATCTCCAGGCTTAAGAAACATCTGATTGGTTGTGCTTAGTCGCTCAGTCGTGTCCGACTCTTTGCGACCCCATGGACTGTAGCCCGCCAGGCTCCTCTGTCCATGGGGATTCTCCAGGCAAGAATACTGGAGTGGGTTGCCATTGCCTCCTCCAGGGGATCCTCCTGACCCACAGATGGAACCCGGGTCTCCCGCATTGTGGGCGGATTCTTTACCAGCTGAGCCACCAGGGAAGCCCAAGAATCCTGGAGTGGGCAGCCCTTCCCTTCTCCAGGGGACCTTCCTGACCCAGGAATCGAACCAAGGTCTCCTGCATTGCGGGTGGAGTCTTTACCAGCTGAGCTACCACGGAATCGGTTACACATCACTAAATACAACAAGTGCTAAGGCTTCAAAGGAAAATAGTTAAAATGCAAAGAACACAAAACAGATGGAGCTTGAACCGTCCCTGAGGACTCCGCAGGCCCTCCTGCCCTTTGTCAGGTCTCCCAGGATTGCCCTGAATCCATGCCAGCCGCCTCCCTGCTCACGTTCTGGTCTGTAGCCTGCAGACGAGTTGGCTTTCATAGACTGATGGAAATCTCTAGTTTTCAAACTTCCATCTGACCAGCACTTGTGAGCAGGTGTGGCTGAGTTAGTTGACTGGCCATAGAGGGTGCTGGTTCTCCCGTCCCCCATCATCTTTCTTGGTTGACGCTCCTAGCCCCCAGCTGTGGCCACTGACACTCACAGATGCCTGTCTGCAGGGAACCTCCCCCTCCCGCCTCCCTGTTCCAGCCTGAAGCCAATGACAGGCCATGTGGTCAGACCAGAGGTACTCTCCTGCATCAAGGTGGGCCCACTGTGTGTCAGGATTCACGCGCTGGCCCAGGTCCCCTTCCTGCTGAGCAACGCCCCCACCCCCTGCCCCACAACAAGGCCTTCCCTCAGTAACCCGCTTGCACCAGAATCGTCGTCTCAGGCTCAGCTTCTGGGGAACTCGGCCCCAGACACTAGTCTGACTGCAGTGGGTTGTGGAAGGCTGGTGGTCGAGGCAGGGGGACCTGGGGGCTGGGGGTCCTGGTGGGGGCCACAATGTGTAGAGGGGCAGGGCTGGGGCTTGGC